ATTGATGAGGAAGTCATAAAAGCTGCGGGTAAAATTGCAAAGTAATTAATATTATTTTAAATATTGTTAATAGCAACTTGAATTTGTATTTGTATAGGCCCTAGTCTAAAAGTTGTTGCAACAATGTCAGTGGGATATGACCATATTGACTTAGCAGCAATGAAAAAATACGGTTTACGTTTAGGATACACACCAGATGTTTTGACTGAAGCAGTAGCTGAAACAACTGTTGGTTTGTTAATATCAACTACAAGAAGATTTTTTGAAGCTAATAATGCAGTTAAAACGTAAAATAGTAACCAGCATAGCATATTATTATTTGTATAACCAACAATAAATAAATATAATAAATACATTATTTTAGTGGTGGATGGAAAGAATGGTCTCCCTTATGGATGTGTGGTAGAGGTATTAAAAATTCTGTAGTTGGCATTATCGGTTGTGGTAATATAGGAACATCAATAGCACAGAAATTAAATACATTTCAGATATCTCAATTGCTGTACACAAGTAGAAGTGAAAAACCGACTGGTAAGTAATAATTTTTTTTTTTTTTCAATTCTGAAATATTTGTATTTATTAAGATAAATATTTATTTCAGTAAAAGCTCTTGGCGGAAAATTGGTGACTGTTGATGAACTCGTTGAACAAAGTGATTTTATAATTCTCTCCATTGCTTTGANGTTGCATTTTAAATATTCACATACTTAATTACTTGACTACATTTAAACATTATAGATTTGTTTTATTAGGCCTAGTTGATCAAGATGAACTTATAAAAGCATTACAAGAAAAGAGAATTGGCGGAGCGGGCCTAGATGTAATGACACCTGAACCATTACCGCTTGATAGCCCTTTAATAAAATTGGACAATGTTGGTGAGTAGAACAAACTGATGTAAATATTGGATTGTTAAATTTATACTAGTGTATTTATAGTGTTATTGCCTCACATTGGAAGTGCTGCAATTGAAACACGAATAGAAATGGCTGAACTTACTGCTAAAAACATAATTGCTGTTTTAGATGATTGTCCTATGCCAAAAGAAGTGAAGTTTTAATCGTTTTAAATGCTAAATTTTATATTTGTATGTTATTTTACATTTTTTGGGCTATTTTTAGTTAATTTTGTATTATATAAAAATTTATTTTTATATTTTTTCAATCAGTGTGTTAATATATATGTATTAGTTGCCATTATTAGTTATATTATGTTACATCTGAATTGTTTAATAAACAAAATTATGAAATCTAAATAAGAAATTTGAAAGACTAAATTACCTTTAATTGTTGTTTTTTTTTTTAAATTTATTAACATTAAACTTGAACTAAGTTTATTTGTGTACAAAATAATATTTCATAAGCCAAGATATTTGGAGATGATTAAATAGGTATCTATGCTCTTTTTCGTGAGATATTGTCCAGTACAAGTAGGTACAATGTATATGGTGTGTGTGTGTGTGTCAAATTCTTGGTAGTTAATAGTACCCTACTAATATGTTAGGTAGGTATTACATATAAAAGGATTTTAAAATTTAGAATTATGTAATCATGTACCTATTAGTACTATTTAAAATTTATTTTAGCCAAAACTTATTTCTGAAATCTGTATTATATAATATCTACAGTTAAATATATAATATTGTGGTTGCTCTAAATTAGTTATTAAATAAAATAATTGTTTAAATGTAGAACTGTGGTAAAATGATCACTATCTCATTATCTTTGTATTATTTAAAAAGTGTTATTTAATTGCCTCATAATTTTAAAAAGATAACACCAAGGTGGATTTCATGTATAATTGAGGAATAAATAACAGTAGGTATACAATCAAAGCTAGTAAGTACCGAATATTAAAAAAAGGATCAATTTTTATTTATCAATATTTAAATTAACCTCATATCACATGCAACACGTTTCATTTAATCTGTGATAATATTATTATTATGTTTGCCTACACAAATTGCAGCTAACAAAATCCAAGGTAATGTACTTGAATTTTATATATGATTTTTTAATTTGTATAACTGACTAGTTAACTAATAAATAATAATTTTACTATGCAATTTTTAAGTTGTACAAAGAAAACAAAACTCGTGTTTTGTACATTGAACACTGTAATACACTACTCATCAGCTATGACAAAACCAAAAGTATTTGTTGCAATTGGCTCTGTTCCAGAAACTGCAATTAAATTACTCAGTGAACAGTAAATTTTATAGATAAAACTAAATGCGGTTTTATTGATTATTTCATACTCGTATATTTCAGATTTGAAGTTGAAAAATGTAACTCCGAAATAGCTTCTTATGAAGAAATTTTAGAAAAAATACCTGGAAAATTTGGAATATTTTGTAGTACACTCAACACAATTAATGAAGAAGTCATAAAATCTGCAGGTATTATAGGAGCATTCTTAAACAAATTCTTAATTATGTATGCTATAGTATATTAATTTATGTACTCTATAGGTCCTAGTCTAAAAGTTGTTGCAACAATGTCAGTGGGATATGACCATATTGACTTAGCAGCAATGAAAAAATACGGTTTACGTTTAGGATACACACCAGATGTTTTGACTGAAGCAGTAGCTGAAACAACTGTTGGTTTGTTAATATCAACTACAAGAAGATTTTTTGAAGCTAATAATGCAGTTAAAACGTAAAATAGTAACCAGCATAGCATATTATTATTTGTATAACCAACAATAAATAAATATAATAAATACATTATTTTAGTGGTGGATGGAAAGAATGGTCTCCCTTATGGATGTGTGGTAGAGGTATTAAAAATTCTGTAGTTGGCATTATCGGTTGTGGTAATATAGGAACATCAATAGCACAGAAATTAAATACATTTCAGATATCTCAATTGCTGTACACAAGTAGAAGTGAAAAACCGACTGGTAAGTAATAATTTTTTTTTTTTTTCAATTCTGAAATATTTGTATTTATTAAGATAAATATTTATTTCAGTAAAAGCTCTTGGCGGAAAATTGGTGACTGTTGATGAACTCGTTGTACAAAGTGATTTTATAATTCTCTCCATTGCTTTGAATGAAGATACAAGATTTATTATTAACAAAGAACGCATTGCTAAAATGAAGTCCACTGCAGTGTTAATAAACATTGGTAGAGGGGGTAAGTTGCATTTTAACTATTCACATACTTAATTACTTGACTACATTTAAACATTANTGACACCTGAACCGTTACCGCTTGATAGCCCTTTAATAAAGTTGGACAATGTTGGTATGTATAACATAATAATGTATTTTATGGTTAAATATATAGAGTGTGTCTAATAACCATTGATTAAGTAAACTTAATCAATGCAGCAATGTAGTAACCTATTTTTATTTTTTCTTGTTTAACTGGGAGCTGTAATGTTTATGTTTTCACAAAACTTTCATCTCTACTGCCAAAGTTATAATCCATCTATTTTATAGTGTTATTACCACACATTGGAAGCTCTGTATTTGAAGTACATCTACAAATGGCTGAAATGTCTGCTAAAAATATAATTGCTGTTTTGAACAATTGTCCTATGCCAAGAGAAGTACTGTATTAGTTTATTATTATTCAAATAACAATGATATATTTAAATAAATATTTTATTCGAGTTTGTGTATATTATTTTTAAATATGAATAATATTATAAATGCTAAATTAATAGGGCAATTCTTATGCTACAGATGCTCCATAATTTAGCATGATATAAATTGCAACCATGCTGTTGATTTTTTGACACTTTAGTAGGTGAAAACAAATGTAAGTATTTAGATTTGATAAGTTTAATTTAAATTTGTTGGTGAGTAGAACAAACTGATGTAAATATTGGATTGTTAAATTTATGCTAGTGTATTTATAGTGTTATTGCCTCACATTGGAAGTGCTGCAATTGAAACACGAATAGAAATGGCTGAACTTACTGCTAAAAATATAATTTCTGTCTTGGACAACTGCGTTATGCCAAAAGAAGTGCAGTTATAGTTTAATAATTAAATAATATTTCAGTTAATTATTGCATTTTTTAACTTTGAGTTTTATACTATTTGTATGATTTTGAGTAATATTACTTTAATACTTTTACTGTATATAAATTAAATAAACGTCAACGTAAAAATTGTCTAGTACATTTTATTTAAAATCACAAACATTAATTTTAAATCAATAGTTATAAAAATAATTCTATAAATTATTATAAATATTGTATATTATATGCTATAGATAATGTAAAGTTTATCAAGTGCGTGATTTCAGATTTCTGTAATTATTTAAAAAATTATATATTTAGCCTCCTTTGCCATAAGAAAAATATCCAGGGCCTGCCTTTGGAATATATAGCCATTTAATGAAAATTATTTGATTGGAGGTCAGCTGCTTACAATAATAGCCATTAATATTTGTAATTTCTAAGTTAAAAACATTTAACATTTTTTATCCTTGTTGATTTTTACATGTTATTTTTTTCTGATTACCTTAAATTTGTATAGGTTTTAATGTTATGTTTACGTATTATAATAAGCAAACAAATTGTTTTGTTAAAACTCTTAAGGTGATTCGAATCATATCTAATACAGTTATAAAATAATATTTCATTTGTACTGATTATCAAGATTTTGCTACATTAGTATTTAATTAATATTTTATTTTGAATACTTAAATCACTTCATACTGCATTTAATGGTTACTTTGTATTTTTATTTTTTTAATTAATATTAAGAAAATTTCTCTAAGAATTGTTTGCTTAAGACAGTAAGAAATGGAAAGTGGTTAGTTTTGTATTCTTTTGATTCAATGACCTATACAAAAAAATAATTTTATTTTCCTATTAATCAGAAATGTTGATAATGTAAACGTATTAGGTACTTCAATAGATAGTAAATTTTAACATCTGTTCTTTATTAATATTATTTTTTACACCACGGTTTACAGTGAATGTTTTCGAAGGTAGCCAAATCAAATTTTTAACTATGTATGTAATTACAATATTATACAGTAAACTTCAATAATCATAATTAGGGTCGGCGACCGAACACGCTTTCGAATTATGATCGGTTTCATAGATTGCACATGGAAGGTATTAGGCAAGGCGCCTCGGTAATATGTAGAAAACTATTTTAGTATACGAGTAATGATTAGTATACGGATAGTACAAGGTTAATGATAAATGATAATGAATAACTGTTATCTATTAACTTTGAGAAACTGAACACAGAGACTCGCAGTCACAGCTTCATTCTTACATTATTATTTGTGAATAATATCGTATGAATATTAAAATATTTTAATTTTTAGAATGATAACATTATTTTACAGTGTGCTGTTAGGTATAGTAATCACTGTATATTGAAGTTTTAAGTGCCGATCGATTATCAAACGGGGAATACGTGACGCAACATGTCACGACCTACGGTGCTGTTAATAAATGATAATTTTCCGAAAAAAGCCATCGATTTGTTACGTACGAGGTATTTAGAATATATTTTTTGGTTATCATTAAAACGCAATCATAATAATATAGGTAACATATTTTATTAATTCAATAATTTGTTGTTGTAAATGCGTAACTATGCTGTTCATAACGTTCAGTAGTCATATATTTATTTATATTTTTTTTACATGTTTATTGAAATTTATTTGCATCTCAAAAGTCCTTCAGTAAATAACGAGTGATAAGTTACATATAAACAATGTAATTTACCTATCCGATTTGAATACAGAGATTTTTAATATTAATCTAGATATGCATATTACTATATTAATTATATTTTACAATTTCAAAGGAAAAACGGGACCGACTGGTCAAATTGATGGGTTGAAATAATTTTTAAACGGGGACATCATAGAAAATATCTCGCATCATATTATTAGTAACGTGTTGAACATTAAATAGACGTATAAAGCGTTTTTATACGAACATTGACAGTTTTTACTTCTTTTCGTGTTTTTTTTTTCTTTAGTGCTTATAGGTATAGTATCTATGAACATTATTAATTTTACATAAGAATATAAATTTAAATTTAATGTAATCTAATGTTAATGTAATTTTCCATTATTCGATTAAATACAAATATGTATTTTGTATTTGAATAGTAAAAAAAAGAACTTAATTATTATTAAATTCACAAGAAAAAAAAAAAGACCGTGATATTTTTATCAGCTTATACCTTATACCATTTCAAACATTTTCTCGTTTTTTTCCAAATTTTCTGTAAAAAATTGTGGGAAAATCGAAAAATAACCTCTCTAAAGTACCTCCCCAGTCAGATTCCTTTAAAAAAAAACTGCTGTCATTGTAAATCGGAGCGAAATTTCTGGTAGAAAAACTATTTACAGGAAAAATAAGGTTTAAAAAAGGTGCTTAAACTAAAAATTGGAACAAGATTTTTTGTAGAAAAGTTGTACATAGAAAAAAAAATGAACATCTTTGTAAAACTATAAGCGTCTTTGCTCCACTCAGAATCTAAAATAACGATATTTCAAAATATGTAATATCGAACTTCGCTCCAAATTGTTTTTCGTTAGCAATGATATTTGTCGTTGCGTTCAAATATAAATTAAACAACTCCTTGTATCCTATCTTCCCAACTAACCACCTACAACAGAGACATACTCGTCCTCAGTATCAGTTCTTTTAGATGCTGAGTGAAAAAAGAAATGTATTGGTTTTACAATGATGTTTATTATATTTTTTTTTAAACCTGTGAACAACTTTTCTACCAGAAATTTTGCTCCGATGTTCAGGTGTAACACATTTTATGAAAGCAAATCTGACTGGGATGGTACTTTAGGGAGGTTATTTTTTGATTTTCCCAGGGGTTTTCATAATGTATGTGAACAAACGTGGAAAAAACGGGAAATTTACGAAATGTTTCAAATCAAAAATATGGCCTTTAAAACATGTTTAACCGAACTCCACTCAGAATCGTTTTTTGTTAGCAATGATTAATCTTTGCTTATAGATATACATTTAATTTCCCCCTTACCTTCTCAACTTTTCCTTTATAACAGTGGTGTACCCTTCGTGCGAAGTATGTCTGTTTTTAATACTGTACATAATATACAGAGTGATTTTTTTTATTATGAACCAGCAATTATCCCGGAGTTTTTTTAGTGAATTTGATTTTTGTTTTTTCTAATCGTGAAATCGTTCAAACTTTATTTAAACCATTTTAAATTTTTTACCCCTACTATATATACCTTAAATAAGTACATACTTTTGATTTTTAAATAGGAAACCCCCCCCCTTTTGAACACAGATTTGAATAGAGAATTTTTTTCTAGAAACTTTGATGTGCCTAACACTAATATCAGATTTACTGTTTATGAGTTATAACAGTTTAAAGTTTAGACCTCTAAATACCTGGGAATCCAGGTTATTTAGACTCCTTTGATAACTAGTTCTCCTGCAGTCAATTAGATCCACGGAGTATGGATTACAATGTGTGTAGTTTTTTCCAGTAATTGATCAATATATTTTAAGTTATAAAAGTATATTAATATAGATAAAATCTAAATGTCGTCCAAGGATAATGGGGACGGGTGCAGCCGCTGTTATAGATAATGTAATGTTTACATGTAAGCAACGATAAACCACTATTTATGAAAAAACAATTCTGAGCGGAGTTCAGTTGATAGTGATGTGTTGTCAACAATATATGTGCCATTTTATAGTAAAATAATTAAATAAGCTTGCATATTTTTTTTAATAATATTTGTTTAATATTGTACCGATTTTCCCAGTTTACCTATACGTTTTTCCCGGTTTGCCATGTTTTATCTTGATTTTTCACTTTAATTTTTACATATTTTCCCGGTTTTCTTCCGTTTTTTTTCGGTTGTTTAAATTTGAGAAGAAAATCGAAAAATGACCTCTTTAAAGTACCTTAGAAAAATTGCTATCGTTATAAGTTGGAGAAAAATTGATGGTTGAAAAGTTGTGTACAGGAAAAAAAAATCGCCACTGAGTTTATACACAGTTTATAAATGTGTAGTAAATGTATAATGTGTATAATTCCAATTTTCATTTCACGATTTATACTGCTCGTGCAAATATATTGTGTAATACTTGTTAAACTCGACATTGCGTTTTATTAAATTAAAATTAATTTTTTTTTTTTTTTGAATATGGTTACGAATACATTTTTGAATCTTTTTTTTTTTGGTTTTTGTGAATGCATTCTTTGTGGAAAAAATTAATTTTATACGCAAATTCATTCGATTTTGAACTCAATGAATGTAAATGCGAATGCATTTATTTTTAAACGAATGTTTCAAGCCCTGTAGGTAGTGTTGAATCCATGTATATCCGTATATGAATCCATATATGTCATATACTCATAGTTCAGAGGAGTGATAGCTCACCCCCGGACTTTTGTTTGCCCCTCTGTGTAAATGAATAATTAATTAAAAAACTAAACAAATTTGACTGGTCTTATAGTAACAGGGTAGATTAACAACTAGCGTAATATTATAAGTAAATTCATGGTCGGTTATCGAATGTTTTGTTTTTGAAATATTTTTATATTTTTAAAAAACGGTAAAGAAATAGTACACATTATCAACATGTAGGTAACTTACTTGTGATAATTACAGATTCGACTTGGAGGTGTGCAAATCAAGTAAAGGCGATGGATTTATAAACACTCAAGATATTGTCGATTGTGTTCCCGGAAAATTCGCGATTTTCTGTATTTCTAGTACTCAGATAAACGAACAGATCATAAAAGCTGCCGGTTTGTGATTTTCTATAATCTATAACATAACCGAATTATATATTGAATTTTTCAATTTTGAACTACCTATTTATAAATGTAAAAAAAGCCATCTGATACCTAGGTGTATATACTGCCCATCTGTAGGCTACTGTTGTAAGTGTGAAGACTGAGAAGTTAGGGTAATTTAGTTTAAATCCTAAATTCAACAAAAGATTATTACAAACATAATACCTACGATTTCGAGTGGAGCTCCAAATATATGAATGATTCACAATATTTGATTATAAAATATAAGTTGTATTTTTAAATTGTTACAATTTTTTACCCATTGTTTGCAACTTGAAAACAATTAAACAACATTTACCAAAAAAAATGAACTACATACATTTGTATTATAAATATTAAAGACATGTGAAGTAAGTGATTAAAACTTAAAAGTGAGTATCTTTCGGAAATCGATGAAAAGACCTATATTCTACAAATTCGTTTGGTTATACCGGTATAAATTTCCTTTTGATAATCATTGTGATGTAAAATAAAGAAATTCTTTGGTGATACCGATTCAAAATTTTTGTTATACCTACCGGTATAGTTTTTCTGACCCGCCTCGCGACATGGGTCAAATATTTTATACCGGTATAATCCTTATTCTTTCTTAATGTTCCCATCGCGATGGGCGAGACCCGTTTCGGCCAAAACAACCTTTCCCTTTCGGTCATTCTGTAATAACGTTAATGTTATTCGCCCTATACACTATTTTGGTCATAAATGTAAGATTTTTAAATTAAAAAAACCAAAGTACATACAAATATAAACAAATTAAATTACGTTTCTATTTTGTTTTAATATAGTAGGGTGAATGATTATATTTTTTTACAAATTTCCTTTTTTATTATAGTTAATTTAGGTACAATTGAAAAAAAATATATGAAATTAATTCGTATGGGTCGTATTCGATCCGTATGGGACATGGCAATAATAATAATATAAAAAATTTAAAACAAAATTTGAAAAAAAATAAAAATGTATACAATTTTTACAAATAGATATAATATATTCATTTTTTTATAAATATAGTACGAGCGCTTAATAAGTTCTATACGCGCAATTTCACCTTTTTGATATATTGTTGATAGGATTTTTATCTTGGCAGTTCCTAACTTTTAAATCTTTTGGACATTTTGAGATGCCCACACTTTGCAATTTGATGTAAGTTTCTTTTTGGAATTCATTTATAACACTTAACCAATACATAATTGAAGAGAAGTTTTTGTAGAAACTTTGATTGAAATGGGAATGGAAAGACTTGCATGCATTTGTCGTTTTTGTTAAATCAGAATTCCTGATGCCCAAATAATAGGAGAAAATATGTTTTTTTCACTAATATAAGTGTCTGTTAAGTAGTCACAGTACAAATCTTAATCTTATATAATCAGGACGAATCGACATTAAGTTCTCAACAAAATAATCTTCTACATCTACTGGGTTCAAAAATAATAATTTCAAAATATATTTTATCCAATTTCCTATATCGGAAGTATTGTTTTTATATTCATTGACCAATCCTAAGGTTTGAACTTGATGAAACCAAGACTGTTAGATGAAATCTACAGCCAATAATTTTTGAATTGGGCCATACTTATCTATTACAGCTTTGTGTATTGATATCTCAAAATCGACTGTCACAAATTTTGGGGAAAATAATAAATTGAATTTACTACAAATACGTTGAAGCGTAAATGTATAAGTTTCCAATGGCTTGTTTGGAAATAGGCAAAAAATAAGATATTTCCAATTTCCCGCTTATTAATATTAGTATAGTATTAATTTGGTTAGGTACTTTAATTCAATTGTCGATATTAATTGTTATAAATTAAATTATTACTATTATCATTTATCAGTTCGTTTATTATTTCGAAGGGGAAATAAGAGGGGATGAAACCGGTGTAAATAGTATGCACCGTATACACGTGATGGTGTAGAAAAATTAAACCGGTGTCGTTCATTTTAACACCGGTTACAACAAAAAATTTCTCAAATTCACACTTGTTTTGATTTTCAAAGGGAAATTTACACCGGTTTGTACCAACGAATTTCTATTAAGTGTACGATGTGATAACAAATAAGTATGGTCTATTGCAGTGATAATGATATTTCGAACGTTGTACAAACTACATCTAGAAATTCGTAACTGGTAATAAAAACCGGTGTAAATTTCCCCTTGAAAATTAAACCGGTGTGAATTTGAACAATTTTTTTGAAGTAATCGGTGTTAAAGTAAACGACACCGGTCCGCACCATCACATGCATATGGTGCAAACTATTTACACCGGTTTCATCCCCCTCGAAATAGTAAACGAACAGATAAATAATAATAATAATAATTTAATTGATAAAAATTAATATCTATTCAAAATCATTTTTATTAAGTACTTATTAGCGGGAAATTGAAAGTTTAATATACTAATAATTTAAATAATTGATTATTGTTTAATTGATAGTATCAACATTGTTAATTTTGAACAATGGTGGAGATACACCGATTTCCATCGTCGAATATCTATACTGGTGTAGAATAATGAATTTCTGATAAAGCTTGAAAGTTTTGGTAATGATGCCATAAGAAAGTAAATTAAAAAGACAATAAAAAAGGTGTCTTATGATTTTTTAATTAAATCATTTTTTCTGGTAGATAATGTCCGTATTTTTATAAAATAATGAAATCGTGAAATTGTACGTTTTCCTACGTTTTTTCCCATTTAAGTCCTTTTATTTAAAAAATGCCGTTGAAAATCAAAAAATGACATGTTCTTTAGAGTACAATCAAGATAACTTGAGCTTTCATAAAAGTTGCTACACGTGAAAATCGGAGCAAGTTTACTAAGAAAAAACGTGTCCACAGACTAGAACAAAGAAGAAGAAAGAAAAAAATTAATAGCATTGTAAAACCAATAGCCCCCTCGCTATGCTCGGAATCTAAAAACATAATTATATTATAAATTAATTTATTGTAAAAAAAATCTAAATATTCTTAGGCTATAATATTAAACTAAATTTATATCCTAAGAAATAAAATACAAAACAATGATGTAGTAAAATAATATCTATTCGGTATGGCCCATAAGTAGGTATTTAAGAATTCTACGAATATTTTGCCAGGTTATCAGTGTGATTATTCAATTCCAAAAGGGAGTATAAATATTTTGCGTTGCTGTTGCGTTGCTGCACACTGATCCTGTGGTAACATTTTTAACGATTGATCTTTTGGTATTTACATTTCTCCATTAATTCTTAACAGTATCTGTTACATTTTCAATATAATGTTTGCCAGGAAAATCCGTCTCATTTTGGGTCTCCAATACCCGTAGCAGAAGTCATGTCAGGGGCAAGCCTTACAAATGTGATGTGTGTGAGGAGACATTTTCTCAAACAATTTACCACTTCCGTTACAATAAGGTTTTATTTATATGCGCCTTAAAGTTAAAACACTAGGTTTCAAAATTTGAGATACTTATTCAAGATTGCTCGATGCGTTATCATTATCCAAATACTTATTATAATATTTTATCTATATTAGTGTTTGCATTTTTCAAGTTCGCTAATTATCTAAGTATCTTTTTAAATCTTGGTTTATGTCTAATCCTAACACGAAAACGAACTGCATATGTAAAATTATTTTTTCTAACTTATAATTATTCTAACCACATGTAGTGAGGAATCGGTTATGGGATGGACCATGGATATAGTAGTTCGGATTCGTGTTTGAGAATATGTTTTTTTACACAAACAGTGGTGTGGTTTTTCCCTGCTATAAATCCTTTTATAGCTATTTCAACGGTTCAGACAAGGTGATTTTTTCTTGCACATATCACATCTGTAAAGTTTTTCCCTGCTATGAATTCTTTTATGGGTATTTCAATGGCTCGAATGAGATGATTTTTTCTGGCAAACATCACATTGGTGAAGTTTTTCTCCGCTATGATAAATTTTGTGTAATTAATAATAAAAAAAAAAATAAGTAACATAATTTAATATAATTTTGACAGAGTCCTTTAAATAGAATACTAGTAATTTAGTAGTAGGTTAGTCGGGGTAGTATAAGTACCTACGCAAAATTTTTCGTGGTTTTTATGAATCAGGACTCAATCTGAAAGTGGTTGCTACCATGTCTGTGGGATATGACCAAGTGGACTTAAAATCCTTGAAAAAATATGGCGTGCGTTTAGGAAATACGCCAGGTGTATTGACTGAAGTAGCTGAAATCGCACTGGGCCTCGTCATTGTCACCACCAGAAGATTTTTTGAAGTGAACCGAGAATTAAAAACGTAAGTGTTGCTTAACATCCATTAACGATTGCAAAAAATTGTGCTGGTTTTTCTGTTCAAGGTTCATTTTTCGAATATTTATAATTGAACTTTTTATGTTTATAAAGCAATGGAATCAATTTAAAAGTTACAAACTCAACACAGTATCTACCCCTCCAGACTCCCAATACTCCCTCATAAAAAACACCACTGACCTTTCTATATAATATAGGTAAATAATTATTACACTGAATATGGTTAATAGATATACATTTTTATGTTTTTCATTTAGGGGTGGATGGAAAGGGTGGACTCAGAACTGGATGTGTGGTAGAGACATAAACGGCTCGGTTGTGGAAAAATTGATACGTCAATCGCCGAGAAATTAAAAATGTTTAGACCAGCTCAAATTCTATACAATAGTATAAATGAAAAGCCAATTGGTAAGTGTAATTTTGCTAATGTTTGTAGAATGAAGAATTAAAGTGATCTCTGTTCTATTAGTTTTGTATTAAGGTACATATATATACTTGAATGAATAGTATGGTAATATTTAAATTTGCTTATGACTTTATACAACACAATTTTATTGTTACCATACCATTTATCTCGGTAGTAAGTAAGTACTTTAAAAAGTTTGAAACACAAAGTCAAATTTTATAGACTTAGAATAAAAAGATGTCTCATTGATTCTTTTAATTGAACAATTATTGCAATGCAATCACTAATAATTAGATTCCATATTACAAAATATATTGTATACATTTTATTATATCCATATATCTGTGATTTCCAGTTAAAGCACTCGGCGGACAGTTTGTCACTGTGGACGAATTAAGGAAAAATAACGATTTCATTGTGGTTGCTGCATCTTTGAACGAGGATACAAAATTCATTGTAAGTCGGGAGTGGTTTGCCACTATGAAACCCAACGCCATACTGGTCAATATTGGTCGCGGACGTTAGTATTAGACATCCATATATAAACCTAATTTAAAAAAATAAAAGAGAAATTTGATTATAAAACTATTATAAGGCAATCATAATATATATATATATATATATATATATAGGTCTGAGAGATGGCTTTTAAAGTGCTAGAAAATAGGATAAAAATGAAGACAGAAAATTGGATTGGAAAAAAAGTAGTTCTAAATACTATAATGCAGAATAATGTTTAATAATGCAGAACTTAGAATAATATGAAAACCAATAATGCATAGCTATAATAACAGGAGTCTAAACTCTTGGAAGTCTTAATTCAACTCTATTGAATTCTATGTATTTTTACTGAATGATAATTTAGATTTTAAAAAAAAAACAGCTGATACTGGGAACACGTGTGGCCACTGTTGAAGTCGATGAACTATTAATGAAAAACGATTTTGAGTGAAATTTGGTTATACATAATATGATAGAACATAGTATTTGTAAACATTTTAAAACATAAAAAATAAAATATACTATCAAGGATAACCTGTAATGAATCTCCTGTCAAATTTTTAAACTTTTCTATGTAGTCTAATAATTTTATCCACAGAATTTCTATTAAATAAAAATTCATCATTAAAAATCGCAAAATTAAAATCTCTATAATTCAAAAATGGCTCAAATATTTTGAAGATTTACCACGTCTAGAAAAAGCAAATTCTGTCAAAATTTTAAAAGAATTAGTTAAAAAAAAAAACTATTTTTTAATAATATAAGAATTATTTTTAGAATTTTCCCAATTATAATTTTTTGCTTATGTTTTATTTTTGTTTATTATTAATAAAACTAGCCAGAAAATCAAAAAAACGACTCCCTTGGTCACCAACTACGAGGGACGTCCAGAAAGTTAGGTTACAACATGTGTTAAAAATTGAAAAATTAATATATTTAAATGAAATTTACAAGATAAATGTCAAAACATGTCATTATTTCTCTACATAATCGCCATTGAGTTCAATACATTTTTTTAATATCCCACTCAAATGAAACTAGGAGGTCCTGAGTGAGATAGATGGTATGAGGTCTAGCGTTGTCATAAAGGAGTGACACACCACAGGTCAGCATTCCTCTCCTTTTGTCTTTGATTTTTTATTTTAACTTCTTGAGTGTCTCACAATATGCAGCTGCATTTATGGTGGTTCCTTTAGGCAAAAAATCGACCAATAATATCACTTTCCGGTCCCAAAAGACAGATGCCATGATCTTTCTCTCTGAAAATTGAACTTAGAATTTTTTGGTTGATGGTGAATGGGTATGGTGCTACTGTAGAGACTATTTTTTTGACCCAGGAGTATAGTGACACGTTTCGTCCTTCACGGCCCTTGTAACCTTAGTTTCTGGACGTTCCTTGTAGATAAATAAATTAATCAAAAAAGGTTTGAGTATATAAAAAGTACATAGTAATTCCAATAGATCCTTCTCTACACTCTGAATCTAATATAAGGTTCTATACATTTGGTTTTCTGTCACTTTTACTTTCCAAAATATTTGTAGTTAAGAAAGAGTAGGAGTAAAAATAAATGTAGTTTTAAACCATCCTTAATATCCAATTTAAGCCTAACCTCAACCTCTATATCTATGGTAATTTTTTACAGAACTGATCGACCAAGGCGCTCTGGTCGAAGCACTCCAAGAGAAAAAGATCAGAGGCGCTGGACTGGATGTGATGACACCCGAACCATTACCGCTAGACCATCCAATGATTAATTTAGACAATGTGTGTACGTAGATTATATTGTTATTGTTAAAAAATATATAGAATTTGTTATTAATAATTTTAGTACTGTTGCCACATGTTGGCAGTTCGACATATGAGACAGTAGAAAAAATGGCCATGTTGACTGCTGAGAACATATTGGCTGTTTTGAACGGAGACCCTATGCCAGCTGAAGTGGTTATTTAATGTTTCTAATTGTACGTATTTTTATACATACTTGATACTTTTGATGTATTTAAGTAATAATATTCAATTTGTATATTTTTTGATATTGTAATAAAATATATTTTCAAAATTTATATGTATCTACCTTTTTGTGTTCATTTGATACGTACTAAGAAGACAAATATTATATTTTTCAATATATTAATTTGTTAATATTTTTTTTGAGATGATTTGTATAGTGATTATTTTAGACATTAATTTTAATACCTTTGATGATACAATGATTATTTACTCCACCCAATATCATTCAATCTGAATGATAATTTTTATTCAATTTATTGGTATTAACTATTTGAACTATAAAGTTTTGCAATATGTATGCAAAAGAAAAAACATCATTTAAGAGGATGCTACACTTTGGAATAAAAACAAAAAATATTACTCTGAATTTTCAAAAGTAAAATGTATCAAATTGTAAAAAAAGAACCTATTCTATGAATATATTTGTTTTTTCATTTATGTAATTTTGTCCAAATAGTTATAGTACTTTTTAACTTGTATTTAAACTAGGTAGGTAGTTAAATAAAATTAAACAACAACTACCTATTTTAGTAATAAAATATATTTGACAAAAAGTAGAAAAACTAATTGATAATCTTATGAACACATTCGGAGAACAAAATAAAACAAATTTCAAGTCATATTAACCTACTAACAGGATAAATACAAACTTTTGGTTCAAAATGTTAATAATTATTATGAAAACCATAATAATAAAACATATTTTTCAAGTGTACTATTATAACTATATATAAGTATTTATAATAAATTTAAAAAATATTGATAGGTATGTACATTTAATAATGGAATTTTATTAGATACAAAAAAATAAAAACTTATAGAGAATCTAATTCTTTAATAAGATTGACAATCTCAACTGCTGTTGTATAATGCTTACTGTATTTATATTCTAAACTTTGATTAATGTAAACAGAGGCTCTAAAGTATCTATCTAATACAATGGATTTGTTTGCACTGGGAACACCATATATATTAATAGACATTTGTGAGATAACATATCTTTTTGGATTGGTGACTATACTTAAGTTCCACGAGGGCATTGTTTTTGTAAGTTCTTGTATTAAATCTTTCAGGTTGGTTTTTTCATAGGCAGCACCCTCTCTAATTGGTTCAATCTTATATTTGACATCTAAATTTCCATTTGCATAACTAAAATGAGATGAAGCATCTCTTACAATTGGTGACACTGTTACCATTGAAGGAGTAACAGATTCAGAGTACTTTTTATGAAATATCGAAAGTGGCTCCAGTACTACTGTCTTTCTGAGAGAATCAATTGGTATACTAAACCGCTTTGAAAGAAGATAAATTTCACGTTCTATATTGGTTTGTAAATCAGACTCAAATGACTGTTTAGAAAATGTTGCAGGGTGGTTAATAACTTTTCTCGAGATATTTTTATGAACTCTTTGAGGCGATACCATGGCACTGGGTACTTGTAATGGCAAGTTATTCTTAGCTTTCTTTGGAGAAATTTCATTTATATTATTTGGTTCTGAAGACTTTCTCTTAATGCTTTTATTTGGTGATTCTATACATTGGCGACTAATAGCTTCGGACAGTATTGAAATACCATAGCTTATTTCAGAATTTTCAGTACTTGTCATAGGAACTGTTGAATTACTAAAATCAGATACCAGTTCAACTGTTTTATGTAACACAGTAACATCAGATGAATCTATAGTTTCATTGGTATCAATATTTTCATCAGTTATTTGGAAAATAACATTATTGTTATCAACTGTTAATTCTTCAAGAGGATTAAAATTTGTAGTATTTGGGTTATTATTAGTTTTGACATCTATGTTTAGAGATTCAGCAATGACATAATTGTTAATAGCTGTTGATTCAATCACAGAAATATTGTTTGTAGTTGTTGATATGCTATCAAGACTTTGAGTTGTCGAAATATTTAAGTTGGACCAATCTGTATTTTTTAAGGTACTTGAACTATTATTGCTTGAAAGTGAATCAATAGAACTCTTACTTAATTTTTCTGAAATTGTATTTTTAACATTTTTATTATCAGTATTTTTTGATTTTCGAGGTTTTCTAATAGTTTTACTACAGTTACTTTTATTCATTTTCAATCCACTTGAAAGAGGACTATGTGATTTTACTGATTTTATTTCAACATAATCATCATACCATTTATTTTTTTTTTTTGGCCGATCATTGCCTCTAAGCATCATATTATTTTTAAAACAACCATTAATTAGTTTTGAATCTTGGGGAATAGGAAGTTTTTCATTAACTGTAACTAGATTTTTAGATTGCTGTAAATTATCTTTATCATTATAAATATTGGCTATATCAATTTTTTGACATTCCAATGCTTTTCTCAAAAAAGAGTAGTCACATTTTTTATCACTTGACTCAAGTTCTATACATGTATCAATTTGGTTAACATTATTTATAGCAGTCTTTTTTTTAACAGGTTTATTTATAGATTTACTTGTAAATGGTTTCAATGATATTAAATTATTGCTTGTTTCAAGTTTATCAGATAGGTTGTCATCATTTTTTACATTTTCCATAGCAACATTAGTTTTAACAGATTTTGATGTTACATGTTTAGAACTTGTTGGTATTAGATAATTACTACTCCTTTTCATGTCATCAGATTTGTCATGTATATTTATAATTTGTACTGTGGATATATTTTTAATATTTTTTGATGATATAAAGTTATCACTACCTTCAAAATCATTTGATGTTTTACTTATGTTTGCATCATTCATTATAGATTTTTTCTTAAATAATTTAGAATTTTTGTTTTTATTAATTTTTAATGGTATCTGCATAGAATTTGTTGATTTGTTAACCGTTTGCAAACTTTCTTGTTTAGTATTAGACATTTCTCGTAGATCATTATTCTTTGTGGGCTTAACTGAATTATGCACTTTTAGTTTTGTTATTTTGGCCTCTTTTTTGGTAGCTTTAGGATTTTCAGGTTCAATTTTACTAGATTGTGGATTTTGAAGAATACATTTTTTTTTTAGATTATCTGCTTGATTTTCAATAACTAATTTATCTTGTGAATTAATATTCCTAGTCATATTAGGTCTTTTTTACTTTTGTGGTATTACTTGCTTTAGAATTTGTCCTTTTCATTAACTGAAGTTAGCGTTTCATCAAATATTTTCAGACTACAATTAATAATCATAATATTGATTTCAGAAATTTGGTGCTCATTGAAGATCCCAATTCACCGTTGGTATCTAAATGATTTAAAATTAAATAATCAGTTAAATTGGTTTTATTTTTAATATATATATATATATATTATTTGTGCATACCTTTTTTAAGTCATGTAAAATTCAAAATCAATTTTTTTCAAAACACTACTAAATCAATTCATATCTAAAAAAAAAAAAAATTAATAAATTAATAAATTTCAATTTATAAGGAAAGTTATTTGAATGTTTTATAAAGACTGTCAAATTTTGTTTAAAATATAAAACAAGTATTTTCATAATGTCTATGTTAAACAAATATATTCCAAGAATAAATAAGTTAGGTATTTTTTTTGTTTACCTAAAGGACCTAAGGTTCCAAAGAAGTAGATACCTAAAGCACCCAACGATTTTGAAATGACATCCAATAAGAATGAACAGCGTGAATGACAAGAGAAAATGCTGGTTGATAAAAAATTATAATTTAAAATGAATGACAAGCGCAACATACTGTTATTTTATGACAAATACAATACATATTCATATTATAATTTGTAATGCGAATATCACAACATTATTACAGAGTAATTTTACTATTCACCTGGACACAAGTGAAACGGAAAAGATATTTGAACTCAAAATAAGTATTTGGACTAAAAACTACTACCAATAATTACAATAATTCAGTCTAACTTACGGAAATCTACCAATAACCTAAAGAAAAGGAAAATAACCTAATGAGTACATTTTATTAAAAGATTAGGAAGAAATCAAGATTAGGTACTTTACTTATTATTTTCCATTGGGTGTGGGCAAGAAGTAATATTCAATACCAAATTATAGTACCAACGGATTCATTTAAAAAAAATTAAGGAACCACAATGAAAACGCATAGAATAATACATTTGACAATTAACTGATAATTGATAATCACTACCTCTTCTGCGTTCCATGGTAACCGGCATCTCTGGTAACCGGAAACGCTAACGCGGGGGGAAAAAAATTGTTTGGAAACTGTCAGATTGTTCAACATTTTAATTATGTGAGATAGTAGGAAAAGAATTAATGGATTATTGAATGATTATTAGATGCTTTTCTAGAAGAAAAATTGTTCGTACTAACTAGGCAGTTGTTGGAGTCTATTAATTTATTATCAATGAAAAAAGAAAATGATGATAAGAAAATAACAAAAAAATGTGTAAATACACGAGCGTTCGTGTGTTTACTATCTATTGTAATGCGCCCACGAACGTCCGTGAATAAAATGCACACACGATTACACGAATGATAATTACCGTATAACACGCGTAATATCGAATGTAAAATTCAATAAAGTAATAATAATAATCATTGGTTTCAAAAATATTTTTGTTACTTCGATAAGTTGATATTTAACATCCCACTTTTCCAACGTGGTTTCGCACATAAAATCGGTACTTATTTTCGAATATAAGTCGGACCTGAGGGCTGAGATCCCATCAGAGTTGTCGAGCATAACGATTAACGATAGTGGTGACTGGGCATGGTGTGCCGTACCCCGCACTTTTAACGCATCTGATTGGTCTTTCGAGTGTGCATTGTAACCACGAACGTACGTCTATATAAACAACGGAAAAAAGTACCAACCTGTAGTTATCTAGTCAGTTTACTGTAATGTTAATTGTTATAACTTATTTTGTCCAGTTTTTAATTTTTAACTTTTTGTGAAATTGCCAAATTAAACTGAAGCTTTTAATTATTTTTTGGAATGATAGCTCATTGTTGAAGCTGTCAACACCTAACTAATTTTTTCTTAAAACAAGAATAACCTATAGTAATTTATACATTTTTTGTAAGTATTGTTTTGTAGTTATTTGTAAGTTATTATTATTATTTTATTCAGTTATTTGTCAACAAATTTATTATATATATATTTATAACTAAACAAAAAAGAATCGTCTTTTTAATTTAATAGTCTTGTTGATTATTTTCGTATGAATACCTACCTATTTTGTTTTAGATCATAGACTTGTATACTAACTCTTTACTGGACATTTTTAGTTTTTACTTTGTACAATTATCTACTAATTAATAGTATACAAAACTCATTTCTTATGATATGACAATATCACTTATGTAAAACACAAACTATTTCTCTTAGTGTTAGGTAGTAATTTTTATTCATTGATTACTTACTTACGATTTGGTTTTCTCTGAAAATCTAAAAACCATTGAACCGTGAAATTTCTAAGAAGACTGCTGTTCACTCTGCCTCTCTTGTTTAGATATTTAAGTTTTTGTCCATATTAGACTTTATAATATCTTTGAAAACATATTGTTTTTTTCTTTTATAATTATTCAAAATAATTTTTATTCAATGTTTTAAAAATAACTTTATAATTTTTTTTTGTTTCTTGTTCTAAGTTTACCATTACTAAGATAATAATATACAAACTGTACTCAAATTGTGCATTGGTTGTCTGTTTTTCCCATCATTAAAAGCCAAACAAATATTGCTGTCTGACTGTTGTTATATAGGTTATTAATGTCATTATTTATACAATTTCAGGCCTATGTTTTATTACTTTGAATTTAATTGGTGATTTCTCTATTTTGTTTTAGTTTAAAATGGTTGATTCGTGTTCTTCATTCGGATGCACAAATGTACGACAATCTGGAAGTAATATACAATTTCATCAGTAAGTAAATGACATTTATAAAATAGATAGGTAGTAATTTAGTATTGACAAAAATTGTAAAGTGTTTTTCTGATAATTATATTTATATAAAATATACAAAATACAATACAATGCAATACAAAGGCTCTAATAATTTCTAATTTTTATTTTTTTTAAGATTTCCTCTGAATAGACCAGATGTTTTAAAAAAATGGATACATGCAATGGGAAGTAAAACCTTCATACCTAATGAATATAGTTATTTGTGTAGTGAACATTTTAATCCTGACGATTATCAAATTCAACCAGGTTCAAACGAAAAATTATTATTAATTAATGCAGTACCATCAATATTTAAAAGTTTTCCTGAACACTTTCAAAATCAAGAGGTTAGTCATTAGATGTTTTTCAAAATATTGATTTGTAATATTTTGATAATATTTTTTTTTTAAAAAGTATAATTTTTGTTATAATTATTAAAGAATGAAAAACTTATTATAAAAAATAATTTTATAAATTTTACCTTTATTTTTAGATTGGAGAAAATAGTAAAAATGATATTTATGTACATAACACTAATAATAGTATTTTACCAAAACAAGTTGAAACGAAAACCTACGATTATCAGAATTTGACAGCTTCATCTATAGTAAATAATTTGTATTATAAAAATAACATATATTATTGTCAATATCAATTTTAGGTGACTTGTGGAAATTGCAAAAAACAAATGAACTTTAAGGAATATGATACTAAACACCGCAGCGTTCATTACAATCTCTGTTGGTTAGATGGCATACAAGACAAAATTGTAAAACGTTTTTGTGATAAATGATATATTTATTTAATTAATTTTAAATATTTAATTTTATAGGATTTTTTTAGTACGCCACAGTTGAAAACACTATCACGGAAAATGTATAATAATAAAAATAGATCTGGCAGACAATTAAAATGTGAATGGTGTAATAAAATAAAACGGACTGTTTCAGGACTTTTCAATCATCTAAAAACATGTAAATATAATGTAAGTATATAATATTTAGAAATGTGTTTTAATTGATATTTTCTTTGTAATATATATTTCTTAAAAAATTGTATGTTTTATTTTATCAAGGTTACTGAATATTCTAATTATAACAAAAGTGTTAAATCCAATATAGCAAATCTTAGGAAACAACTGATGCATAACAAAATTAAAATTTTGCAGCGGAATTTAAAACAAAGAGATGCTAAAATTAGATTGTTAAAGGGTAATTAGTGTTTTTAATTACTTATCTCTACATTTAAGTATTTTACAATTTGTGTTTATCTGTGTTAACAGGTCTTATTATCAATGAAAAAAAAGAGATTTTATCTTCAGAAGAAGTCACAATGACGCTTACAAACAATTTGGTAGGTTACCATTAAATTTATTGTATACAATTAAAGTTAGAATAAATAAAAAAACAAAATATAGTAGTGTTAATATAGTAGGATTTGTTATAATCCCTGAGTTAATACTCAGGGTTAGAAAAAAACAATAACATGTTTTATATGATTTAAACATAAGTGTTTTTGATTACAATTTTATTTATGTATTTATTTATCTACATTAAATCAAATACAACAAATTTAAAAATTGAATTGTGATAACTAAAGTCTAACTTTGAAGTATTAGAGTAAATTTAGCTAGGCACATTTTTATTATCCAAGGTCTAAATCAATTCTTTATAAATTATTCATAAGTATTCATAACAATTATTTAACACTTGGAGATGAAAACTAAAATCACAAGTAGAAAAATGTCTTTTTTTACGTATGTAAACGTTTAATTTAAACAATGGTTTTTATTCTTTTAAAACAGCAATTATGATAATTATAACGCTTTATATTGTTATCCCCTTAAAGTAGGGGGCGGCCAAACGGTAGATTATAGACAATTTCGATATCAATCTCACTTTGTCAGAATTTATTTATATACAATTAATTGATTAGATAAACTACAATTGTCAATTATTGATACTAGCGATTTTATTTCTGATATATTAAATCTATAGTATTATATTAGAGTTTTAAGAAAAGTGTGATGAAAAACATTATTTAATTATACAGTTTAGTTTTATTATTTATAAATATATCTATATTATTAATACCTATTAGGTAATTAACAATTAATCACTTTTACAGAAGTTGATTCTCCAAGGGAATTAATTTTCTTAGTTGATCACTACCAAAAAAATTTGGCTGCCTCTGTCCTATAGCCTAAAAGTATATGCCCAATGTATAAACACTTTTTTTGGTGTTTGTTCATTGCTCTACTATTTGAAGGAATTCAGATTTTTAAAATTAGATACTTTAGAAAAGGTGTAAATTAGTTGCTTATAAAATGTTGTAGTTCTAAGTAAAATTAGGCCATCTAAATTTACTGTAGATAACATTTGTTAGAAGTTTTATGTTTGACACTTGTAATACCTGTGCTTAAGTTAAAACACTATTTTTTTTAATGCTGAAATAAAATCATCCTATTTATGTACTATTTAAATTCCTTTCAAAAATGATTTGGGATATTAGATTTTCTAAATTAATTAATGACATAACATATAAATTACAGGAATTCAGTCTCAAAAGTTTAGCTGGCAACAATGTTGAGAAGTGAGGTGTGCTGCGATTGAACATTATTCGATCAAATTTTCTTCTCAAAATAATGAAGTTATAGCTTATTATTTAAGACAAAGTGATCACTTCTAAATATACATATTAATTATAGAATACATTTTTCAAAGGATACACAAGTCCCATACATCATAGTAATATTATATTGGTATATATCGGTAAACATATATAATTATTTAAAATTACTGAAATTGTATAAAACTCCATTAGTAAATAACCATTAGTGTATGAAAAATGTTTTGAAGTTAATTTGAAACACAGCAAGTACTTTGGAATTTTTCTTAGATTTTTCGATGTGTCCCAAAGTATTTTCATATTTATTTTGACTTTTCAAATATTTTGGATTTGTTTTAAACTATTAGACATTTATAAAAATAAATTATTAAACATTTGCTGCATACATCTTTTTTTGGTTCTCTTTCCAAAGCATTTGAAAATTTTTCTTTCAATTTGATATCAGTACTGAGAAAAAATTTTGATATGTGCTCAATAACATATTTAAAATAAGGATTTTATTTTTGACCTCTAATCATGCTAATTAACACATTTAATTTGTTTTTAAACTATGCGCCATGTGCATGAATGCCAATTGGTGTGTTGATTATTTTCAATGACTTCATTAGCAACCAAGGAAATATAATAAATTAAATTAAATTTGTATTAGTACACTGAAAATAGATAATAGTTAATAATATACATCCCTGTTTTTATTATATTCTAAAATTATAAAAATTTATTTATTAAGTATTATTAATTTTTATTTAAATTTATTTATGCAATTGTTTGAAGCAAATTGTGAGGTAAAAAATGGGTTTTTCGGCTAACATCACAATAATATTGTGTTTTTTTCTTTTTGATCTCGTTCTTGGAACGTAGCTAAAATCTTTTGAATTAATGCCACTCATTTTTACCTATATAATGTGTAAATAGTGTTCATATGTTCAAATATGTTCATTGATTCTCAAAGAATATTTGATTTTTTTGTATTCTTCTATTTTTGAAGCTGAACTATCTTGCCAAACAATTTGTGAGGCTTGGGTAGCATTTTAAATGTTGTATTGCCATTAAAACCATAACATCTTGTCTTCATTTTCAGATGATTTTCCTTCACTTATGGTTGGTGGCAGTATTTTTAGTATAGGTACCGAATATCAATGTACTGAAAATTTATTATTCAGTTGTTTCGGTTGTTCAGTTTACTAAAAAACTGAATAAATAATCTTTATTTACAACATTTATTTGTAGATTTATTTAAGGTTTATGAAATAATTTTTATCAAGCCGTTTTAACTCATTATCAATTTATCATTTAGGTGTATAAAATTATCATGTTTGATTTTCTATTCATCTATTCATTTTTAAAATCTAAAGTTGTTGACTGTAGTGTTATTTGTTATAATATATTTTTGACTGGTGGTTGTGAATATTTATGTTACAATTTACAAGTTTCATTTTTTCTTTCTTTAAAAACAGGCAAAATAAGGTCTGTTGTTTCACTATATTTCAAAAAAAAAATTAAATTCTTGACTGTAAAACATGTTAAAAAATATGATATGCGAAAGGTGGAAACTCAATAATATACTTAATGCTTAACATTAATAGTGTAATAACTTTAATATTGTAATAAAATAAAATAATGTTTGTTAACATATTAAATTTAAATGGTAATGATGTTATTTAACTGTTTATAACCAAAAATACTTAAGTAGCAATAAACTGTTTTATACCATTATTAACCTGTATACCGAAATATCGATAGTATCAAAAATTTTATACTGCCAGCCCTACTTTCACTACATAATACATTCACTACCAGAATCTTTAAACATCAATTATCATCATCATTATCTTCTCTTTTTGAGGTTGTGATATTCTAAAAACTACCTATTTAACCATATTAACTAATAATGAAGTAGATTTTGAGCTACACACATGTAATAATAAACCATTTAATTTAAATTTATACTGGAAATCTATTGACATCATGCAGACCATTATGATGCCAACTGCCTTCAAAACACGTTAAGGCAAAAATTAATACTATTCATAATCTATGGTAATACTAAACTAATTTAAATATAATATATTTGCTTTGAGTGTACATATATTACAAATAATTAAGTGTATAATATACTATAATAAAAAAAAATAAAAAAAAATTACTTTTTCTTTTTATATATTATTGTTTATTATCTTTTAATTTTACCTACCCATCTACCTTTATGTAATATTGTTACCAAACTATAATAATTATCTTTTAGATATAATGTAAGCTGTACCTATTTAATTTATTATCCATATTTTATTGTTTGTGTGCAATAATATTATATAATACTTATAATAATATTTATGTTGTCAGGTAGAAATTAAATTCGTAGTAGGTACCTCCATACTTTTAATTTTGTCTTTATTAATTTTAATTTGTTATGTCTGTAATTCAATTAGTTGTGGTTTTTTTAATAAAATAATAAATTATAAAAATATTATTGGTTAAATAATTTGTTTTATTAATGATTTATTGTTATTGTTAACTGCTGAAACCTACCAAATAAAAATTTGCAAACATAAAATGCAATTTAAAAATTATTGAACATTTTATCACATCAAGAAAACACAAATATAAGTTTTCTGTTCAAATGAATGTCAAGTCTTTTTAAATATTTTTAACTGAATTACATAAAAAAAGCTGATACTGCTGATGGGTATATCAAATGTTGTATGTGGAAAGTTGAGAAAGTAAAATACATAAAGTTCTTTAATTTATATCTGTGATCAATAATAAACCATTGTTTACCAAAAAATAATTCTGAGCGAATTTTGATTATACATGTGAAATATTGTCATTTTTAGGATTTTTTGTCAAAGTATTAACTCAAAACTTTTATATAAAAATAATGACTACATTACAATCGGCATTTTTTATTTGACCACTAAGCACAACCTAAAATGAAATTCATGATAAATTTTCAAACATTTCTGTTTGGTAAAAAAATTGTATCCACATATAACTATCAAACAAAAACTATTAGTTATATTAGTAATAATTAAGGACCGGATTTAATGCGTGTTCATATTTTTATAAGCAATTACATGCAGTAAATGGATTTTCATTGATCATACTTAAATAAATAATATTAAACATTTTTATTTTGCATATTTTGACTGCCAGTGCATATTTTTCATAAAAATGCTTGTTTTTACATATTACATATATATTTAAATGTTTTAATTAATTTTTCTAATTGTATATACAATTATTATGTATACATTTGTTTCATTACTCAAAAATTAAAAATATTTGTAAAAATAATATAATATTACATTTCTGTAGATCATTAGTTGATAGATAGGTACCTAATTCATTACATACTGGTTTACCTATCATATATTTTTATCTTATCGACTTTTTCTAACATTATCGTCAGTACTACAGAACACTGACTGACAGTTTGAGGACCGTAGTTCAAAGTGTACATTCAACAATAGTCAATGTATTGACTATTGCTGAAATTTGATTATAATTTTGATTTGATTTGAATTTGATTATAAAAACACGTCCATTTTATAGAACATTGAGTTTGTTACTATATAATGCCAAAGTGGTCTATGATTTTTTTTCATCATTAATGTTTTGATTTTATAATTTTACAATAAATAAATAGCTGTAATAATCAGAAAATTATTTTGCATATTTTTTGCATTTCAAGTGCATATTTGAAATTTTTTAAGTGTATATTTGTATGCATATTTAAATTTTAAATGCATATAAATCCGGTCTTTAGTTATTATAAAACTTAAAAATAAAAAATACTTTAAATATCTCAAAAATATTGTCAGTGTTTTTGAAAATTTGACCATTTTTAGAAAAATATTTTAGAGTACTTATTTTTAGTTTTAATTTGGTTTTGTTAGGGATAAAAATGTTTGGCAAAATGTTAGAGCAATTTTTTGTTCAATGTTTATTGTAAGATGAACTTAGTGATAAAAACAAAACAATTGAGCATAATTTAGTGATTTTTTATAAATATTTTAAGTTGATGAAAATCGAAAAAAATAGGACTTTCAAAATTTGTGTAACCGAACTTTGCTTAGAATCGCTTCAAATATAAATTAAATAATATAGTGTACCCTACTTTTTAGATTCTGAGCGAAGCGAGGAATGTATTGGTTTTACAATATTTAATTTTTTTTTCACCTATAAACAAGTTTTCTACCAGAAATCTTGCACTGATTTTCAAGTGAATTTTTTCTGAAAGAAAATTTTATCTGAGTGGTACTTTAGGAAGGTAGTTTTCCAAGTGGTTTTCATAATAATTGCGTAAAATCTAAAAACAACTTACGAAAAACGGGAAAATGTACGAAACATATGGTTTTACATTTTGTTTTATTGTTGTCATTCAATTAAACATGTTCATAAAGACTTGAAACTTTGACAGAAAGCGTATATTTGCTTTTTCTAAACGTGATTAAATTTTCAAAACATTTTAATTTTGCGAGTTTTTTGTCATTTTTATCCGTATTTACTCTATTGATCAAATTGTGAGATCAAATAGAAATGCTCAAAAATTTAACAAGTGGTTCATTATAAATCATAAGTACTTTGTACTTTGCGGACAAAAAAAAAAAATTGAGTCTAATGAAGAATTTTTTTTTAAGGATTTTGATGAAAATCATAAATATTCCGGCCTTTCAAAACATGTATAACACATGTACCCACATTGTACATCACATTCAGGATCGTTTTTAGTTAGGAATGATTAATCGTTGCGTACAAATATACATTAAATCCACCTCTATATCCTACCTTCATAACTTCTCACCTACAACAGTGGGCAGTGACTAACCCACCGTGTGAAGTATGTTAGTTTTTTTTTATGTTCGAAACCATAATAAACAATAATATTTTGTTCGTTTTCAGAATTTAATCTATACATTTACTCACTGTACCCTATACTTGTGCTGGTTCCCGCCCACAATAATGGCCCGCCAGTGTTTTAGTATATGTATAATTTTTTTTTTGTTTTATTGTAATTTTTTTAAATTTTATCGGTCATAAATTGGACCATGGCGAGGCTCACACCGACCGGATTACAACTCGTTCGCTCGTTTGTTTGTACCGACGACGCAACGCGCGCGCATGGTACCCTGTTACCGCGGTATCAAACTTAACCCTCGGCGCTTGGTTTAATCCGAGTTTAAACTTTTCCGCCGGCCAACTTTGCACGGACTAATCTAATCGGGCCTCGTCAGACGCGTCCGGATAACGTCCGTTTACTTAAAAACATTAAACCATTACTTGAACCACTTCGACCAGCGGCCGCGGCGTCCGGCCGATCGGCTCGGCTGGTGCACCGGCATCGCGACCGAAGTACCAGGACACCATAAGGCGCGTGGCGACGCGGCGTGCCGCCCGGCCCGTTCCCCGCGCGCCGCGTCGTCGGTAGTCGTGTGTCGACAAAATGAAATGACACGGGAGGGGCGGAGGGCGACGCGCAGTATGACGTGGCCCGTTCTGCCTGCACAACAATTATTCGTCTTCGTCAGCGGCTGTATTGGTCGGGTAAATTAATTTTCGGGCGTACACACTTTCGAATGATATTTTATATTTTATTACAGAATAAAAAAAAAAAAAAATGTTCTCGTTTGGTCCTACTAAATATGGAAACATTTGACATTTTTGCACTCTATTCCAAAATTTGTATTTTAATCGTCGTTTTTTTTTTTCCTGAAATCATATAATTTTAGCCGTTTCTAAATACCATATTAACTATTCTTCAAATTCTCACCCGACAAATACAAATTATACAACTCAGTATTTAAACAATGCGATTTTAATACTTAAAATAGGTATTTTGTAATTTTAATATAATATGAAAATATTTTCCACAGACTCCCGGTCCAAATTACCAAAACGTTTTGATTGATAATATTGATCAATGGTGGAATCGACTCTCAGGTTGGTTTATCAATCATAGTTCTATGCACGGACCAAGAATATGAATGTATGATGTACATTTGCATATTATATACAATTGTCGTAGACGATAAAGATTAAAGATAACTGTGCGTATTAAATTTGTTGCCTGAAAACAATTTTTTGTTAAAAAAAAAAAAAAAATGTGTTTTTGGCGACGAGCACAACAATGATGAAAATATACTATTATCAATACCCATTTCAGTTGTAAACGTTATAAATACGGACTGGAATACGTGCGTACACCTGCGTATGGTCCATATTTTTCAAAAAGGCGCGTGTTGAGATTCACAAATACGGTTTGGGTATACGCCGTATGAGTGTACTCTCGTGTACGCAGTACGCGGGTATAACGCGATTTGTTTATTGAAAACGGCTTGGGAAAATAAAAGAAAAAAAAAAGAAAGAAGAATAATCTCTCCAGAGCATCACGCACGGATCTAAAACGCCGGGTAAAAAGCGCTCTTGTCGGTTTTTTTTTTTTTTTCACCGGGCGCGAGATTTCTGGTCGTGCGCCACGGACAATAAAAGCACATAACAAATCTAGACGCGCGGCTAAAACGACGTACATCGCGATCGGGGGGGAAACACCGCGGCGTGTCGCGGCCCGCGCGAAACGCGACGCGCCGTCGCATCGTGCCCTGGTACCGTGCGTGTAATTTAGCGGTGCACCGGCGCCGCAACCGAACCGGCCGCCGGCCAGAGACCGACCGCGCCGGCGTCGCGTGCGCCGAACGGCGTGTCCGACCTCGGCCAAGGGTTAAACGCGGTGTCAGGTTACCGGGGTCCCATGATGCGGGCCGCGCCTGAGTACACGAAGCGTCCGGCGGACGCGATCCGCGGCGCGCGCGCACGGCACAACCGTTTATTGTTCTGGCGGTACCGACGCGCGCCGGCCGTCCATCGGACCCTGGTCCCGGGACTCGCTATATTCGCGCCGCCACCGGGTCGCGTGTCGCGTTAGGTGTCGCATTCGGTGCGTTAATTAATTACGCCGCGTTATCGACGATATTTTACGGCACCACAATCATAATCATTGCGGGTACAGTTTATTTTAAACACAAAAAACTTGTTGAATGTTTTAATTTGGAATACCAAACAGTTAACACATACATAAATACATTTACGTTGTACTAACTGGTGGTTCGTAACGGTTATTAAATGTTTTTATCTGGTATTTATTTTGAAATACCGAAGTCCTTTACATTTCACTAAAAAATATTTGAAATTATATTACTTTACACACTGTAATGCGCGATATCCATGTCTACTAATTTCGTATTAATTGCGATTCTAAGTGATCATAGCTAGTGGGCTTCCATGCTGTAATTGATTGTTTCATAACCTTCCTGTGCGTGAAGACATTTTTAAATTCAATACTTAAAGTATGACATAAATAAATTCATTTACGTTGGCCTAATAAGTTTATAACATTATAAAACATTTTTGTTGTTATGGTCACTATTGAATATTGTATTTATGCAAAATAAAAACACATTTTAATAAACAATTATAATTAAACCCCTCGTAACAGAACCCCTGAAGACGAATCCCAAAAGTGATAAAAAAGGCGTTTGGTCTTATCATTAAGGTGGCCTATAAAATATTAGACATATTACAAAATTCGAAGACGTTTGAAAAACCGACACAGAGCATTTCAATCCATCCGCGATCATTTAACTACTCACAAATATTATTGCACCTACATCGAATACATTTATTGTTCAAAACACGTGGATTTTGTTAATCGATATTAAAATTTAAATTTAAAACAAACAATTAAAATTATAAAAAGTTACCATTTTTTAATATGCAAAGGGAAACCTAAAAACGATGGGAGGGCTAAAAAAAACCTCTTTTTCGCCCTCACTTGCCCATTATAGAAATGTAATAGACTATTTAAAATGACATAGTATCTCAACGAAATTCTACGGACTAGAAAAATTATTGTTGATCAAAAAAACTGCCTTGAATTTATTTAATATCGGGATTTGTATGTTCGAAAGTATAATAATAATATTACTCATATCGATTCCAATTTTGACGATATCCGACCGGAGACAGTCGATATTTTTTTCCAGAAAATTGTGCACACCAAGTATTTATAATAAAAACTGACGAAATTCGTTCGTATAAAATAAATAACAAACAGTTAATTATAATTTATAATATTATATTTCTGAGTTTCTGCGACACCGTTTACAAAGCGTCATTAAGTACAATTTGTCAAACGTCATAACGTCATAACGGCCCGAATCTGAAATACACATCATAGTTAAACCAATAGCTGATACCTTGTTACACACCCAATCTAAAAAAGCTAAGCAAATGGTTTTACGTCAGGCGGTTTTTTCGCGTTCTTTCAGACGGCCACACTGCGATATCAGACGGTCATGTTATCAGATTAACGTAAACACTGGTGTTGCTGATCGAAATTTGATCGTTCGTCGTGCAGCCCGCGATTGTTGCCGTTTCGTCTGTTTCTATGTGCATATATTTTACTAGAACACCGCAAAAATTGTAGTCCGTTAACGGTGTTTTACTTATTTACTCAAGATTCGGCAAAACACTAATCATGAACTGTCTGACCTTTTCGTTGACTTTAGTCTCCTTGGTGGTGGGTAAGTAAACATTTTTCGGTTTTCGCGGACACGCCCTGATGAGAACCACTCCAAAATATTGAAAACAACTTTCTCGCCGTGCTTTTATATTTATTTTGTGTCAACGTTCGTTTCACTTATATTTTGTTTTCAGGTTACGTCCAAAGCCACGAATTGTACGTCCTAAATTCTCCAGAGTTCGTTAAGATTAATCAATCGACACCAATACGTACCACCGAGTTGGCTGAAATCATTTCGTCTGTATTGGGCTTCACTGTACCGCATGGTGTAAGTGTGTGTTAGGTTTATAATATTAATTTATTCACCGACATTATTTAACACTCTAGATAATTTTGTCACTGAAAGTGCAGTGTTTAGAGGATGTCACAATATCATTTGCCATTTCTGTCATGTATTTCTAACTGGCAGTATAGCAAACATTTGTATCTGGACTTCCAACTCTTAAAAATAATTACTTCATCAAATTTTCTATGATATCACCGAAGAATTTTTAATATCTAATTTCATACAATCTATTTCTATTAGTAAATTTGAAAAGACAATCATAATTTTTAGTTTAACATAAAGAAGTATAGGTAATTTAAACATTAAAAAATCCCTTTGTGAAACTGTAGTTGATGGTGTAGTTTTCAATTTGGTGAAATCATTTTTGAGTTTTGTTGGGATTCGGAAAACAAATTTTTGCCCTATTCATCATTTGAAAGCCTGACAGCAAATGCTTCTGTGACATTAGTCAGTGGACAGTGTACTGATAGTCATGTGAATCTATTAATTTATTGTAATTTGTTTTTTTGTATTTTATACCTATTTATTATTGAAAATTACTACTTAATAGTATAACTATTTATTTATTTTTTTTTTATGTAAAAAATTAATTTTATTATTTTAAAATATTATGTTTGTTAGGTAAAAACTTATAACACTTTATTGGTGGCTGATCCATTTTCACTGCCTGAAGCCGTAGTTGTCCTTGAAATTCCTGGACTAAAAAATCCAGGATTTGACTTGAATAAAGTTGAACATCATAACTTAATCTTGGATGAATCATTGGCTGAAGTATATGCCACTGTAGAACAAACAATGAAGGAGAGACTTGACAACAAGGAGTACAGCCTTATTCATGGTTCTTTAACCAATGAAGAATTTGTGAGAGAAAAATTGTTAAAAATAATTGTATAATATTTTTTAATAATCTAATAATAATTTTTAGCTTAAAACTCAAGTATTTCATCCGAATTTTAAGCTAAATCCTAGTATTAAACCACACCATATTGATTCATATGACGAAAAGTATAAAGTATTTTTTAATGAAATTTATAACTTACATCAACTTGGACAAGGTGTAAGTAAATTAAATAAAAATGAAACTGTTAGGTACACAAAATGTTAACCTAACTAATATTTACACTTAACTTAACCAAATTCCAGGTTAAAGAGAGTATGCTCCAAAATTATGTGCCCGATTTACATTGGTTTCAATTGCAAGGGGTAAAAGCATTAGTTGCAGTTCATGATCCAAATTCTAAAGAAGCAATTGATGGAAGCAAAGTTTTAAATGAAGCTATATCTGCATTAGTCCAATCTTATAATGAAATTTATAATAATCAGGTATTCATGCAATTGACTGTATTATTTATTATTTAATTTTTAATAAATCATAATCAGTGTAAAATATTTTAATTAACCATTTCTAAGGTGTTTTTTATTGCCATTACTAATGATGGAGTTCAAACACCTAGAAGAAAACGTGAAGTTGACAGTGTAGAAGCGGTAATTAATTATTTTAGAATAATAATTTTATATTATAATAAAATAATGTTTATCTACTTATTTTAGAAAATTAATGTCGCTGAGCCTGTATCCAGTGATTATCCAATTATATTCAATATTTTATTGTGGTTCACCGTCATATTTGTCTTTTCTCTTTTAGCCACAGCACGTAAGTACTACATTATTTTTATTTTTTTAGTCTGCAAATAAATTAAATTATGATAAAGATTTACAAATAAGGTAGAATATTTTTCTATATTTTGTTCTTTGGTAAACCAAACAAACACAATTCACAATTGAACAAGCTGATATTATAAGTTTTATTAATAATATAGATTCCCCAAATAAAATTTACTTGCTGCAAAAGAGGTATGCATTTTAGTTGTCTAATTTTTTTCGCAAGCTTGAGTATAAAGTTTTAAACAATTTTCTGGAGTAAAGTTTTAATAATTTAATTTTTTTATTTTGCATGTGTTTCACAATTGAATAAATTAAAATTGAAATTCAATTCAAGACTTATAATATCTATTTTTAAATAAGTTATACAATTTACTTGTGGGCCATATAAAATTGCTATGCGTTTTATCAACATCTGGTTTAATTTATAAATAATTTAAAATTATAATATACTTACTAAATAGTATTTGTTTGTGTTTTGTTTTTAGTGAGCATTAGTCAAATGGATCCAGGTCGTGACTCTATCATTTACCGAATGACCAGTAATCGAATGAAGAAAGAAAATTAAATATTTGTTAAATTAATTTTGGTGCACTGATCACACAACAAAAATAAAGTTATAATTTACTTTAGACCCATTCCAAGTTGTACATAAAGTGTTCGTGTAGAACGCTAATATTATTAATGTTATTATAGCTACTTTATTTTATTTAGCATTTTTGAAAAAAATGTTTGGTTTTTTTTTTTAGTGTTTCTTTGTTTTAATTTTATGAATTAAAAGTTATCAATTTATTTTAAATCCTTATGTTAACTAATTATAGTATTTTTTTTTTAATTGTACTATTTGTTTAGTTTTCAATAGGTTAAGTCCTTTTATGATATTGTTGTCATACAAAAAGTGACCAAATTATTTAAAAAGATTCAAATTTTTAATAAATTAAATGTTTTAAAATAATTTAAGTTATATGCATTTAGCTTCGTTCAACATGGTTTGTTATTTAATGATTAATTTTAGATTTTTGGTAGTATTAAAATATTGAAAATCTGTAGTGACTATTAGATTTAGAGCTTAGCGAGGAATCTATGAAACACTAAAAAAATTGATGAAACCATAATAATAGCTAATTTCAGCTATTGTTATAGGTAGGTTAAGATAGGTTTTTTAAGAAATAAACCTACAACCTTTAAAAATAACAATCGCGATAAAAATCTTAAATCAAATAAGATTTATCGGGTTAACCGATGTTATTTTCTACGTGACGACATTATATCAGGAAACAAATGGAGGGCAAGAGAAACGCTTTTTCAGCATATTTAATGATGGAAAAAATTATTTTCGGTTGTAATTTAAAGGTAAACATCGAAGGTCATCGGAAAGTGTTTAATTACAAGAGTAATCCTTATTATACTTTATCCTTAATTATTTGCACAATTATTCGTCGTTGATTTTAATATTGTAGTCGTCTGCTTCAATTATATTTCGGCCACCTATATAAACAATAAAACTAAATATTAAAAAGACCTGTCACTAGAGTTGGGAGCGACTGTTATAAGTGAGAAGTTGGGAAGATAGGATACATAAGGTTATTTCATTTATATCTGTAAGTAACGATAAACCATTGCTTGACGAAAGACAATTCCGAGGGCAGTTTGGTAATACATAATTTGAAGTGCCGAAATTCTTTTGCGAAAATAATAATTATTTAAGTGTTCACCTGACACTGACCAAAATTAAAAAAAAAAAAAAAAAAAAAAAAACATTGCAGAGATTCTAGAATAACCCGTATTCATTTATTTTTATTTCATACTTAACAGTGTATGCCATTCTTTTTTGTAATTTGAATTAAACAAAATTCAAAATGGACATTTTGTAGAATATATTTTCAGAAAATGTCCATAGATGGGAATATAGTTATTTATTTTCTACAATTTGTTGAAACTAAAAATCTGGATTGAGTATATCATTTTTGTTTAAAAAATAATAATATATTTAATCAAATCAGGGCGTACCAAATAAAAAGAATAAATCATCTGACAAATAGTTTAGAAAAAAGGTTATTTTAGGAGTCGGAACTTCGTGTAACATAATAAATTTATAAATTTCTTTGGTCGTCTAAATTCTAAATAAAATTATTTTCCAAACATAATCTTTTTAAACAATATAATTTTAATGCAACTA